CTTCTAACCCATGTGAAGGTGCTGTAGGTTTTTTGTGACCTTGGCAGGAGTTGAGGGCAAGCGTCTGAAGCTGCAGATATGCTGTCATCCGCAGACAGGTCAGGCCCAGTGGACCAGAGAGGGAGGTGGACATAGTGCAGCCCTTGAAAGCAGGGGGTCGGGAGCCGAGATGCACTGGACTGAGTCAGATCTCTCTGCTGCCAATGTCCTTCACCTCTGGGTGCCTCAGTTTTACGCTGCTTAAAAAAAGAGAGTAAAATGACCTGTCTTGTTGGGCTGTTTGAACAGTTGAATGAGTCCATATAATGTGTAGTTAGCATATGGGGAGCACATACAGCATTGGTGGGTGCTTGGCATGCACTCAATAAATGTTGGGTGCTGGTGGCCGTACTGGTTAGCCTGCGCGTGGAAGGCTGAGGATGGAGGTGGGGAGCGGCCCGGTCTGCCTGGCAAGGCCTCACACTGCCCCAGTTTTTCTCCATCTCTGAAGGCCGTTTGGTCTCAGCTTAAACTGCTCTTTCTTGGCGGAAGCTCGCCGCCCGCGCACCTCCTTCTGAGGGAGCCCCGTCCCTCTGCCGTTATTTACTTTCCAGGGCGCCTTTCTCTTCACCGTCAGAGCTCTTTCCCTTGTCTGTCCCTGCATGTGACTTTGTGTTCACTCCCTTGATGGCTGTGTCCCCCACTAGCCCCGTGGCTTTGCGCTGGTGAGAATGGCCATGGGGTAAGAACTTGGTAAGATTTTGATGAGTCAGGTGGCCTGGGGTCCCAGTCTTGGCTAGCCGCCTGCTGCCTGTGTAACTGAGGGAAAGGTGGCTGCCTTCTCTGAACCTTCACTTCCACACCTGTCAAGTGGTGAGCGTGATGCCCAGCCGCCAGCTGGCGTGTGAAGGTGCCATCCAGTGCCTTACAGGTGCGTGTCGGCACAGCTCCTGGAGCAGCACATAGCACGAAAGGGGACTGTCATCATTAGGATTCCTGATGAGACAGCCACCCACAGGTCCTCATGCCCTGGGAAATAACTGCATCAGAACTGGCCCCTCCCCACCTGCAGCAGAAGAGAGTCTCACACTAGCTGGGATCACAGAGAGTAAATGTTCATTAATGATTTGGTTGAACTCTAAGGGGGAGTTTAGGGTCTCAGATTGCTTATCTTTGAAAAAAGAAGCTGGTGAGCACACAGTCTTTACATATAACTTATGCATTCGTTAGTAATTACAAAGGACGGGGATGGAGGACTGTTGCCATTTGGAGGGACTGAGCCCCAGGTAGCGGTGCATAGGGAGCAGAGCCGCCGGCACCTGGGGGCCAGCAGGTGTGAGAAGGTGGGGGACGGTGGAGGGGCTTGAGGGGAAGAAAGAATTTCCTAGACAGCTAATGTTGCAGTCCTGTGCAAGACCAAGTCCGAAATAATGGGGGCTTTGTGAATAACCGAACAAATTAGAATTTTGGGTCTCTTTGAGATTCTCCAGAAAAGAAAAGGAAAATAGGGTCAGAAACCGATACAGGGATGTAAAAAAAGGAGATTAAGTCCCAGGATATGGCGCATGCAGAGTGAGGTATCTGGGAGCCAGCTTTCTTCAGAGCTCCCTGTGGGCATTTTGGTCTTTCAGAAGCAGCAGTTGTTTTTGTGAACCTGAAAGAAACCTTTAAAGAAAATATTTAAACTGTGGAGGAAAGAATATAAAAAAGCACTTTTGTCAACTGAAGTTTCCTATCAGAGAAGTTCCACTCACCTCTTGGTCGGCTTGCGGTCCCTTTACTTTCACTAGATCTTAGTCTTTTTAGTTCTCCCAACAACTTTTACAGGTAGCTATTATTATTACTTATGATTATTACTATTTCTATTTTAAGGATGGGGACACTGGAGCCCAGAGGAGTTGGGCACCTTGCCCAGGGTCATGTGGCTAGAGGTGGCAGAGGTGACAGAGCCGGTCATTTCCCCCTGCACATCAGACTGTTGGGGGAGACCCTGTTAGTACTGTTCATTGATGGTTTGGGTTAATTTAGGTAGAAATGGCTGTGAAGTCACCCTGTGCCTTTGTGGATGGGACCAGTGGTGGAATAAATGGCCTTTCTGTTCACCATAAAGCCACTTGCGACTCTGGGCCTCAATCCTCCAGAATAGGAGGGGAAGAAAGCTGCCCTGCCTCCTCGGTGTGGCCCAGGACAGCCATGCAGACACTGCACTCCTACTGCGTCCCCTGCTTCTCCAGCAGCCCTACCCTGCAGAGCCATCTCTGCACTTAGTAGGACTTACCTGAGTAGGTGGACTCTCTTCTTCCAAGGGAGGAGTTGATTATCCTGGGGGTCACATTCTGCAGGGTGGGGAGAGTCTATCTTTAGATACCACCAAGGTTTGTATTCACAGGAGGATATGCAAGATTAGGTGACCTTTACTATGGAATGTGAAACTACTTATTTGTATATATGCTCCACAGCCACCCAGTGAGGTAGGTGCTGTTATTTCCCCTAGATGAGTCATCTGTGACCTAACGAGGTTTAGTAAATTGCTCAAGAACACAAGATAAGAGCCTTAGCAGAGATTTAAACCAGATAGTCTTGCTCCATAGCCTGTGTTCTTAGATACTATACTGAGTAGATTTTGATGAGTGAGTTCCAGCCACACATCCATTCCCCTGTTCATTCCTGAACTCACCTCTCTACTCACCCTTTCACCTGTCCATCCAGTCATCTGTCCATTTGTCCATCCTCCCATCCATGCATGCATCCCTCTACCCACCTAGCCATTCATTTTCCCACCTTTCCATCCATCCACCCACTCACCCACCTATCCATTGTTTTGGTTGTTTGTCTAAGTTGGCTCTCTGATGCATCCTGGGGAAGAAATTTTCCATCCCAGGAGTCAAGCATGTGCTTTCTGAAGCTGGAGACCTCCAGGTCAGCACAGGTCCCTCAGCTCTCAAGAAATATCTGGGCTTGCTCCTGACACACCTGGGTTGGTCATTAATGCCACTATTTCAGGCAGTGCCAGATTGCTTGGTTTCTTTCCTCCCTCTGTGAACCTGCACAGGGCTTCCCCTTCAAAGTCTCCACACGTGCCAAGCCGCAGGCTCTTCCAGAAACCCTTGACTTTCCAAAGCATTATCACAAATGAATACTCAACTGGATCCATTCCTTGATCCAAAGATTGGATAGTCAGATTAGTCTGGCATGATTTTACTTTGTTAAACTGCTGCGGAGTTTGTGTGATATATCTAAAAATTATGTAATAAATCTAAAACAGATGCTCACAGAGCATTTTATAAGGAAAGGCATTTTAATAGAAATAGGCCAATTTGATTGGGGATAAATCAATTAAGGACAAAATTTAAATTGTCGTTGAAGCAGTGTTGCTACGAGACAGTATGGCTTAGCTATTTACATATTTGTTAAGTACAAAGCAATGAAAGTTGTTTAATTATTTTGCGTAGCGTCTGTTGTACATGAACCACTGGGAGACAGACTCACTTTTCAGAATTTTTTATTTTTTATTTTGGGATATTTTAAACATAAAAATTCAAACATGAAAAGATAAATAGGCAAACAATGAACCCCATGTACCCATTACTCTTGAACAATTAGCAACTATCACCGTATCTGCTTCTCCCCTCTCATATTGTTTTTCTTTTCTTGAATTTGAAGGGCATATTTCTAGCTTATTACTTAATTTCATTGGGTCAAAATTCCATTCTAGAAAAGTATATCATATTGACATTGAAATATAATAAAACTTTTGTCTGTAACCATTTACTTTTTCATTGAAATCTCATTTTTTTTAAGTGGTAGATCATTGGGAGTTTTCTGTCATTTCTTTAAAAAATTTCAAGTCTGTAGCAAAGTTGAAAAAATAATAAATGAACCCTCAGACACCCTTCACCTTAGTGCCCCAGTTATTAGCATTAGGATTGCCATTTTCCTAAGTGTGTTTTCCTATGGGATTTCTTGAAGACAGGGACGTGTTCTTACCTTTGAAGGTATGTAGACAGTGGCACTTGGAACCAGATGGATGCGGTGTTGAGATCTCATCTGCACCACCTCTTAGCCCTGCCTCATAGGCAGGTTGCCTCTTACTCCATCCCTTCATCTACCAAGTGGGGTAATAATAGTGGACAGCCCATGGTGTAAGGCACATCATAGGCTGTCAATCAATGTCACCTATCATCTTGCCCCCCGGCTGCACCCCCTATGTTGCAGCTGAGGGGAATTAAACAAGGGAAATTGGATTTTGTCAATTCAAGTCATTTTTGGTTAATATGGAAGATTTTTTTAGTTGAGAGAGTTGGTATGGCCTAATGATTAAGGAAATGATAAATCTGGGAAGAGAGGTTCAAATCTCAGCTCTGTTCTTACCAGCTTGGAACTTGGTTGAGTGACTTTATCTGAGTCCAAGTTTCCTCACTGTGAAATGGGGATAGAAGGAATACTTACCACGTTGGGTTGTTAAGGGACATGGGAAGGGGGCATTCACATCCGGCATGTAAGTAACGCCCAATGGCCCGCAATGCGCAATGAGTGGTACTCATCCGTAGCGTCATTGTAAGTGAGGATGCCTTAGCATAGTGCCTACCATACGTATAGATGCTCAGTAAGTGTTATTCATCATCAGTAAGGGTGAAAAACCCACACCAAATTTCTCTTTAGAAATCGGATTCTGTTTGGTGCAATGAAAAGGATAAAGATGTTTAGTGAAGCCTTGCCGTGCTATTTCGAGCGAGTATGCCTTGGACGGACAGGTGGAGGCCACCAGCAGGACGTGCTCCCAGGCAGTTGTCATGGGAAACGACCCAGTGCCCTTGGTTCCATTCAGTGATGTCCTAAAATTAACCAGCCTTTCTCGAATCTCCTGGAAATGTCGGCTTCCAGGGTTGCACAGCCCACCCATGGCCAGGGTGGATACTCTGTCCTGACGGCTTTGTGCACTTCATGTAGCCTGGGACTGATTTTTTCCCCTCTCTCTCTCCCTCTCTCTCTCTTTATTTGACTCTCATCTTGTATCCCAGGTTGAGAGGATTGTAGACAAGAGGAAGAACAAGAAAGGGAAGTGGGAGTATCTCATCCGGTGGAAAGGCTATGGGAGCGCGGAGGACACGTGGGAGCCAGAGCACCATCTGTTGCACTGTGAGGAGTTCATCGACGAATTCAATGGGCTGCACGTGTCCAAAGACAAGAGGACCAAGCCAGGGAAGCAGGCCAGTGCCTCCAAGCTCCTGCGCGACAGCCGAGGCCCATCCGTTGAGAAACTCTCCCACAGACCTTCAGAGCCCGGGAAGAGCAAAGGGTCTTCACAAAAACGGAAGCGCATCAACCCTTCCCTGTCCAAGCCGAAAAAGGGGTATTCAGCCAAGCCCCCTGCAGGAGGTGACAGGGCCACCAAAACTGTGTCTTACAGGACTACCCCCAGCGGTTTGCAAATAATGCCCCTGAAAAAGGCTCAGAATGGGCTGGAAAATGGGGACACCAGCTCTGAGAAGGACGAGGGGCATTTTGGAAACGGGTCCCATCAGTCCGGCTTGGATTTGAATGATGTTGCTGAGCAAGACCTGGCCGAGTGCGATGTTACCCATGCGGCGCTGGCAGAGAACGGACTCGGTATGTGGCTTCTCTTTCTCCTGTGTTTGGCTCTGGCCATGGTCAGTGAGGGCTTTTGGTGCAGCATGGGAAACTACTTAAGACCCCCACCCCTATCCCTAACTCTTCATTAGGCAGCAGACCTCCCCACCCCAAATCTCTCTCACCTGGGACCACGAGGACTTGGTCATATGCCCACACTGGGTAAGACATCTATGCATGTGGGGAGGCCAAGCCACTGATTCTCCAGCTAATGCCTGTGATGGGTTGAAAATTCCTGATTGCACTTCACGATGCCCAAGGCTGTGGTAACCACGTAGAGTCGCTGCTCTGAGGGCAGCTCAAAGCCCTCACTCACCTGGACCCGGGACTCAGTCCCTGGACTCCCAGAACCTCTCAGGGCAGCACACACCTCACAGAACCATTGCTGTCAATCTCATCAGCCCCCGGGAGGTAGCCCTTCTGCTGCTCTTTTTCAGACACAGTTTGGACTTGAAATTCTCTAAAGCCCTCCAGAAGTGAGAACCTCTTCCCCTGTATCTATCACTAACGTTGACAATATGACCCCGTTTCTCTGTTAGGTCCTAATTTCTGCCCTGACCCCATCCTATGCTAATTCTTTTGGTTTGCACCTTTTTGCTCCTCTGGCAGCAGCACAGCAAAGATTCTGGGATCCCCCCTCTTACCAAGTCCCACAGGTGAAATGAAGGCACGAGATGTCAGTGACCAGGGAATTCAAGCTCCCAAACCTGGTATTTCCTCAACAGTCAGATTGCTCCTAGACTGAGCCTTAGTGGCCCAGGTCTCCCAGGGTAGCCGTCCCTGCTGTTGTGTGCACTTGTGATTTCTCAAGCACCTGTGTGTCTGTTTTCTCTTTAGCTGCTGGGCCACTAAGCCTTGGGATGTCAGGAAATTCTGCACACACATGGACAACCTGTGTGCAACAGATACGATCATCTGGTGTGTGGGGCTGAGGGCTGGGATGCAGGTGGGACCGGCTGGAAGAGCTCCTGGGGGTGGTGATGGAGGCGAAGGCGTGTGGGAGTGACGTGACTAGAGCTGAGAGCGCTCAGAGCGCGCCCTGCCGGGAGAGCATGCGTCTCCAGGGACTCTTGCCAGGGAATGTGAGCAATCTGCTTTGAGGTTCCTCTTTCTCCAGAGAGAGGAGTTTCACCCAAACAGGATTTATTTAGCAGTCTTTGCTCCAGATTGACTCACATTTTTGTCTGGGGATCCCTGATGCTGACACGACTCTGCCTGCTAACAAATGTGAAAGCTGTTTGCTTTGGAAAGTCATCTTGGGGGGTGGGCTTGTGTAAATGAAGCCTGGCCCAAACTCCCGTGTGTGACGTTCTGTGCCAGCTGCCTGAAGTAGAGGAATTCCGTCTTGGGAAGGGCAGCTGGTGAGGGGAACTTTTGAGGCTCTGTGGGTGCAGGTGCAGGGATTCTGGGCATGATCCCCCACGCCTGCCAAGGGGCAGCCCCCTGCCCTGCTCAGAACGTGGCTGCCCCGAGAGTGAGGGCAGAAGCAGTGTAGCTGCCAGAGTATGAGGTGAGGGAGAGGAACCAGATTTGCAGACAAGTCTAGGGGAAGGGGCACCCCTCACTCCATGCAACTTCCCAAAGAGAGGCTGAGCTGCCAGCTGACTGCACTCCAAGCTTGGGCCTCATGGATGCTGCCTGGTTTCTGGGCTGGTGGTGAGGCATGGTACCCACGACCACGGGAAATAGGTGAGGGTGAGTGATGGGATCAGCTGTGGTCTTGTTAAATCCCAGTCTTAATTCTACAAAACTTGCCCAGACCTCTCTCGCCTCTGATCTCGTCCGCCTCACTGTTTCATGATAGTGCACATTCTCTGCTCCACATGGGCCCATGCCTGGGCAGAGCGGGGAAGTCTCCTGCTTCTATTTTGTTCTCTTTTGGGTGTTCCCAAAGGGCTCTTCTGCTTAATCACATCCCATAGTGTTGGTGTCCTAAAGATTCCCCCATAAGGTTAAGGCAGTGGTTCTCAGGTTTTCCGTGTATGAGTTACCTGGCACCTTGTTATAAATTCAGGTCCGACTGAGTGTGGTTTATACGTCTAGGGTGGGGCCCAGAAGATGGGTTTTTAACAAGCACTCTGGGAGACTCCAGAGCATATTGAGACGTGCTCTTTGGAAAAATGGGGGTGGCAGTTAAGTTTCACATTGTGTCAGTTTAAATCAATTTGGTACTTATTTTTTTGAGCACTTAGTCACCATGCTGGGTGCTTGGAGTAGAGTAATACAAAGATAGACAAGGACTTCTTCTGAAACGTACAGTTTACTCTCCAGTAAGTTGAGAGTGGATACCTATTGGGCAGTGTTGAGAAGATTCCTGAGGCTGGCTCACTGGAAGGAGTAACATGCATGTTATGAGTATAGCATGCCTTTGTCATACCGGCACTGACATCTTCCATGGTCAGTGGGTGATAAATGCTCTAGTCTTTATCATTCTAGTTAGAACTAGCTTCTTATCCAGGTTTTGGTGTAACTGGGAAGAGGAAGAAAGTGGGAATGCTTGCTGGAGAGAGGAGGTGGTCTGGGATTCTTGGATAAGATCCAAGACAGAGGGGTTTTCTGGTTCCAGAAGTTTCCGGCAAGGGGTCAGAGGTGTAGTCAAGTAATACATGGTTCCACTTATGTATTCAGTAAGAGGGAATCCTCGATGAAGCCAGGGTCCATGCCTATGTGCAGCTCTGGGTGTCCTTGCCCTCGCTGCTCCCCGAGTCCCCACGTTCCCTGACCACCTTGGCTTCCCAGGGGCGGGAGGGTGAACCACCGTTTTCATCACAGAGGGGGGGCTTCCCTTTGCCTGGCAGGAAGAGATGGGGAGGTCTTGGCTGTGCTTTCCAAGCATTTGTTTTGGAGGTGGGCTGTTGCTTTTTATATGATTTTAACTCCTCTTTGGTGAATTAAGGTTCTGCATACAGAAAAGCAACTTATGTAACACGTTCCTCATTTACTGCTGACTTCCCTGATCGGTGCTGCGGGAACAAATGCTAAATCGGGGCTCTGGAGGGTTTGGCTTCAGACTGCATTTTCCCCAGCAATGTTTGCGAAGTAAATGTAGCGACTTAGTACTGCTCTTGGTGCTGACTCTTCTCTGATAACAACAAGCAGCTCTGTGGTCTGAGGACCATCTGCCTCAGTATCCTTAGGGGAGCTTGTTAAAAGTGGGCTCTACTACCCCAGTTGAACTAATCCGGATCTCAGGGGACAGGGTGAGGGTTGTGCATTTTAAATGCTGTATTTTAACAACGATGTGTTTATACAGAATTTCCTACAGAAGCATTTGGTTGTAAGCAGTGGTCCCCAGATCCATTTGTTGACAGGTCCAAAGTTGCTCCTTGGATTTTAAGCTTGAAAGTGAGAATGTGATTTGACCTTCAGAAGTTTGAAACCTGACATAATTTCTCCGTCTTGCTGATGCACCAGGCATCCCTCTCTCTCTCTTTCTCTCTTTTCTCTAAAACAGACCAGTTTCGCATGTATGGGAAACCATTGGGTCGGCTAACCCCCCCGTGGTCTGGTCCGGAAGAACCTGCTAGTGATGTCTAAGGAGGCCAAGGCATTGATAATTTACAGACTCAGATGAACCTTTAACTTGTGGAAACTTCCCTAACTAACTCAGAGCCAGTGTTTCACGCTGAGCCCTGGCACAACACAGAGATGCCCAGCCTTCTCCAAGTTTCCCTGAAGCCAGTGAGCTTCTGTCATTGATACCGATCCTGTGGCCCTGTATTCACATTTCTTTGAATTTTGAGTCAGCCTCCTTGCGTCCTGATGGCTGTTGTCTGCCACAGAGGCACTACGTCTCAGACATCACTTGATTCAGTGTTTTCAAAATTGTCCCTATCGTTGAATGAGTCATTCCACACAAACACGCAACATTTGCTGTTTTCTCTCCATTGATCTTTTGCAGTTATCTCAGCTTGCACGTCTGTAGTGTTTATCTTTTTCTACTCTTTCAACATAATTATCATGTTGCCTTTTATTGCTCATATGCAGTAAGTATGTTTAAAAGCGTTTCAGAACTAAGCACAGCACGGGGAATGCCCTGTGCCTTTGGGGAACTGGGGGCTCTCACACATCAGAATTCCCCTCTCAGACGTGTTAAAACACAGAGTAGTACGCCAGCCCCCCAACTTTTTGATTCAGTCGGTGTGGAGTGGAGCCCGAGAACCTGCATTTCTAGAAATTTCCCAGATGTTGCCACCTGTCCAAGGACCCCACTTTCAGAGTCACTGCTCTAGAATAATAAACACCAAGATGGTTAAAAATGACCGATGGTGGTGATGAGTGTGCCCCTTGGCATTACTGGTGTTACTCTGGACCTTGAGTTTACATTTGTGAGAATTTAAAGGCTGGAAGTTTATGAAGTGAAAAGTTGTGAGTTTTAGAGTTTGGGAACTTGTCGGTGATGGTGCCTCGGCGTTGACGAAGTACTTCGTGTGATCCTCATAGCAGTCCCGAGTGGGAGCTGTTGTTCTGCCCATTTTACAGAGGAGGAGAGTAAGCTTCCAAGAGGCCAGGCTGGGACTAGGAGAGAAATCCAGGCAATGCAGCTCCAGAGCTGGACTCCCCACCGCTGTCCAGCTGGCGTCCAGGCGGCGCAAGGCAGTTCCCAAGCCCTGAACACCGACCAGCAAATGCCTCAATTGGCACCAGAGCTGGTGGGGCAGGAGCTTCCCGGACCTGCCCTTGTTGCTCCTTACTGGGAGGATGATATGAGATGCTACGACTAATTCCATGCCATTCAGTTTGAAACCCTGGGTAAAAATGGTCAATTTCCTAAAAATACAACTTACCATAACAAGAGTCAAGGACGCCTAGAAAACCTGAACAATGCAATAGCTGTTAAAGAAACTATTCAATCAGCTACTACAAAGCTCTCATAAAAATCAGGAAGAAGGTTCACAGGCCCAGATGGTTTTATAGGCAAGCCTACCAAATATTCTAGATAATTCCTCTTACACAGATGGTTGTGGAGACGGAAAAGG